TAATTTTTAATATTGGGTACTAAATTGAAACATAAACTAAATATTAGGTACGATTTGAAAAAACATAAAAATTAGGTATCAAAATGAAATAAAAATAATAGTTTGGGTATCTCTAATTTATATTAGAGATATAAATTTTAGAATTTATATTAAAAATTTAAAGGATATCAAATAAAATTTTTAATAAAAATATTTAAATTATATGAGGATTTAAAATTTTTAAACTTGATTATTTCATGTTTGAAACTTCAACCAATTTAAGCTATTAATTAATACATTATGCATTCAACCATTAAACCCAATAATTATATTGCATTCTTTCTTAAAGACTAAAATTATATTACATTACTATTTTATTTAATATTTAACCATCGGTAATTTATTTATAATATTATTAATTGAATTACATATTTGTAAATTTTAAACCAACTCATTCATATTTTACTCTTACATTTTAGGTTTGTAGTATAATTGAAAGTTGAACGATCCTCTATGATATAAATTATCCAAATACGATCACGGTAATTTTATAAATAGACTTGTAAACACTAATTTTTTTCATTTTTATTATTATTATTAAAATTATTATTATTATATATAATATTATATTATTATTAAATAATTATTACAAGCCCAGATTCCGGGAGCCCAAATACAAATCTCAGGCCCAACCAGAACCGGCCCAGACCCAAATGGAAACCCTGAACTGATTTGGGGTTTCAGCTAGGGTTTCTCAACCCTAGCCCCCAGCCGCCTTCAAGATTCCAGAACATCCACGAGGCGTCACCTCCACATCCAGCTGCCGTTGTTGACGTTTCCACTGCCAACTGCCCCACGACGACGACACCTTGCTGCCACGACGCCAACAGAGGATTCCAGAAGGCCAGCTGCCCCCCACACGTCGCGGCTATGGGGTGAGTCACCACATAGCTCGGTGACTCTCTGAACTTCCCCCTATGGACCAGTCCGAGCATGGCTCCGTGGTGGCTATAAAAGCCACCGGATCCTGCAAAAAAAAAAAAAGGACAGAAAACATAAACGAGACACCACGAGAAAAAAAAACTACCAACGATCCCAGTCAACGACGAACCAGTATAAAAAAAAAAAAGGAAAAGAGAAGAGAAGAGAGAGCTTACTTTGTCATCGGAGGCACTTGAAACATCACCGGAAACCTTCGGATTTCGAAGGTAAAATCCTAGATCTAGGAATTTCTAAGGGTTTTTAGGATAAATAGAGGCCGTATTCGACCTTAGGACGTAGAGATCTACGGTTTGGGCTAATTTTCCTAACTCCGGCCACTGTGAACAGTGGCTGGCAGTGGTGGTCGATGGTAGAGTAAGACTGTCGGTCGTTGGTCGGCCAACCTCCGACGGGAAGAAGCAAGAGAGAGACGAGAGATAATTTCTTCTCTCATTTTTAGAGAGAAAAGAGAAAGGGAGAAAATGAGAGGCTGACCCGAAGGGTCAGCCATTTAGGGGTTTAAAAAACCCTCTCCCAAATGACACCATTTTGGGGAGGGTATTTGTGTAATTTCTCACGTGGGTAAACTATACCCGCAGTCACTCCAAGAATGTAACTTTGTATTTTAGTCACTGAAAGCAATTTTTGATTAGTTTAATTTAGTCTTCAAATTTTATTTAATTTATAATTTAGTCATTATCAGTGTTTATATATATTAAGGTAAATAACTGATCTAGTCCCTTATCATTTTAATTAATTATATTTTAGTCCTGAATAACTAATTAAGGATAAATTGCACCTTTAGCACTTAGATTTATGACATTTTAAATTAGACCATTTAATTTTAACAAGTTATAATTTAATCCCTAATTTTAGTTTATTGTTTTTTTTATATTTTAATACCCTAGTTTTAATTTTATTTATTTCAGTCATTACTTATTTTAATTTTATATGTTTATTTTTAAATATCTTTAATTATTATTATTATTATTATTATTTAGTCATATAGATATATATAATAAATAATATTTGTTTATTTATTTTTATTAGTTTTTTAAATAAAAATCCTATTTATAAATTTAATTTTATAAATTACTTTTAAGAAAAATAATCATATTTTGATATTTATTTATTAATATAGAAGAAAAGAGTTGTCTTAAAGCACTTAGAAGCCCTTTTCTGATATTTCTAAATAAGTAAATATCTCATATATTTATATATTAAAATATTTTTATAAATTTGAAAAAAACAAAATTATAAATTAAATATATCTTTGAATTTTTAAATTTCTAATAATAGAGACAATTTATAATTAATAAGTACCAATTTTGGGCGTTGTAGGGGTGCTAATCCTTCCCTAAACGTAACCGACCACAAATCCCTTTTTATTTCTAAAAGGAATGAATTTTTGGTTAAACGCAGATCAATTTATCTTTTAATTGATGTTTTCTTAAAAACTCTTTTAAAAGATAATTTTTAGGTATTCGACCTACCTAACCCAAAAGGTCGATGGCGACTCCCAAAACATTTTTTTTAAAATCATTTTTTATCCATATTATTTTTCCCGCCAAATAAATATTTCGTGCTCGGACGAAAAACGGTTACGACAAGACTAAAATTCTTATATCATTACACTGGGCTATTTATTTTAATGGTGATTTGAGTTATAAGGCATTATTTGACAAAGCGAAACTTATTCTAGCTTAGATTCTTAGTATAAAAGAGTTTGGGAATGAAAGAACTAAAAAGTAATAACTAGAATGAAGATTTTTTTCCTTATATTTTTCAAGAAAAAAAAAATCAAACACTAAGGGACTGTTTTGAAACTTTGGTAAGGATGAACTCAGTAATTCTTGATATTTTCCTAATCAAGGACTAAATTGATGAAAGGAAGAAAAAAAGAACGTGTCAAGTGAAAATGAAGATAAAAATAATAATTTTTAATATTATTTCATATGTCAATCATTGATCGGTCTATTAATATCTGACCTTTTTTTAAATTTTTAAACACTAAGGGTGAATTTGAAAAATCAATGAAACTTTGAGGATTAATCTTGCTGTTGTTTAGGTCAATATTTTTTAATAGTATGCCACACATCTACCATTGATTGGTGTGAATATTTTTTATTATTACTTTAAATAAGTATTTAATTTTTATATTATTTAAAGATTAATGACAACTGAAAACTAGGAAACATTAAGGACTATTTTTGTTATTATACCTTAAGTAAATGAATATTTCTTTAAAAAAATAATGTTACTTATCAATTTCTGACTGGTCTATTATTTCCACATTAGATTTCGTGATGGAAGTAAGCAAATTAAAATAGTTTACAGTAAAATACTTCATGTATAAAATAGAAAAAAAATCGATTGATATAACATTAAGTAGTTTCATATAGTACATGTATCAAACTGACTATGAACCCTTTATTATATTGACATATTAATGGCTTAAATTTGTTAAGGACTTCCCAACAAAAAAGAATAGTGTGCTTGTGATCATCCTTCCCACTGACGGTTGATTTGTTACATAACTTTGATATATAATCTTTCCCAGTAAGAATCTCAGTTTTGCCTCGATAGATATACGTATTGTGCTATATAAAGTAAATGTCATGGTAATCGTTAACGGACTTGATCCTTCCCTCTCAAAATGAGTGATACAAAATCAGTCTAGTTTTGTATTCGGGTAGGAGCATTATTTCGAGCCTCCATGCAACTTTTATGGAACGATGAGATGTTTTATCCTTCTAAACTTATAAAAGGAATTCGATGAGGTGATCCTTTATCGATTTATTAGTTTATTTGTTTGTATATAGAGAGATTTTTTCATTCTATCACCATTCACGGGGAAACCCATGAACGAAAAATAAATACATTTGATTAGGCGTATTTCGAGCATATCTCATATTTTTTCGTAAACGATTTGGTCCCTTTTGCGGAAGCATCTCATAGCCAATTGCATGTCCTCAAATGGAGTTTTGTGCATGTTCTGGACATGGAGTTTGTATTATGAAGACTCGAGTTTATTTCTCTTCTAATGTTCCATCCAATATGGAAACTGCATTAGGTAATTATAATGTATGCGACGCAAGGTTAAAGCGTGATGATTTGTTTGGTGCCTCTAATAAGTGTTTGTGGATCAAGCCACCATCCAGCTGGGTTAAAACCAAGGCAAATGAGGTAATTTCTCTAATAAGATTGAGCTCGAGCTAAAAACTGATAATTCAAATATCTAGTGTTTTTATTTGTAACTCTAAGTCACTTCAAGAAAAGTTTATGAATTTCTCCGATAAGATTAAGAGACATGTGAGACACGATCAAAACAAGATAATGGACACTCTAGCAGCTATCACATGTGGTGTAGGGGAGATGTATGTGGTTCCTTATGGAAGTAATTATACACCCATTATTTTAGAAAGATATTTAATTTAATTAATTAATGGGAATTAAAAAAAAAGAAAATTTGTATAATTATTTTTTTCTGGAATATTAAAATTTTAGATCTTATTTCTTAATTTTTAGATCTGTCACTAGTATGGTGACTTAATTGACGAAACTATTTTTAATTTTCCTTAAACTTTTGTGAGGAAATATATAGAACTATATACATAAATAAAATATTAATTATAAAAAATATGGAAACGTTAGCCTTCCTCGCATATCTGTTGTATAAAATACGCATTTCCTGATTTGGGCATAGGTTAGGAATAGGATGGTTGTTTTACTTATTTAAATGAACTTTTATTAGTAAAAACCCACGTTTAGGGAGGTGGAGCTGTGTCTTGTTATAGGTAAATTTAGTATGGATTTAAGACCATGAGGCATACCAATGGTTCACATGCATAGCCATTAAAAAAAACTAACAATTTAACACCATTCCGTTGTCTTTCAGTTTCACTTTCCAAATTCCGATGAGTTGTCTTCTGTTCCCGATTGTCCAAATCCTCATCCATATATGCTTCTTTGCATTGGCCTAATTGGCCTAGGCCATGGCAATATCCCTTCAACTTTAATCAAATCCGACTCCGGCGAATATGGTATCTTCCCAGCTCGAGGTTGTTTCCTCTTCGCCTTTCGGTTGTGTCCTGAGGGATCACGACCGTAAAGAGCGATGCCGAGAGAGCAATGCCAGAAATGTGCAGGCCATGTTCGACAAGAATTTCGATGACTTGGTTCGAGATCACATCAATGGCTACGTATCTCTGCCTTCCCCTCATGGTTCAAAAAACCAAATCTCCCACAATAATGTTGTTTCTTGGGTCACAAGTGAACAAGCCAATGCTAATCAGCAGCAGCAGGAGCACGACATGAAAAACAACATCCCTTCTGCTTCAACAATCATCCCTAGGCCGCCTCCGGTTCTCAAGCGATGGGTGAGTATGAGGTACCGAGAACATGTGAATGAAGCTACAGAACCAACAACACCAATGCCGTCGGCTTCTACCAGGAAAAATGCTCAAAACTCACCTAGTCAATGGGAGAATACGTCGGCCAAGCACAATCTCGGCGCTTCCTCCCTTGTTCAAATATGGGAGGCCAGGTCGTTAAATCGATCCAAGTCATCCAACTGCATAAATTCGAACCAGAATCAAAGCCAAAGCATGGATTCCAACACTAGCAGGACAGGTACTTGTGTAAGCTCTAACGAGAATAATGCCATGGAAGGACTATCAACAAATGATCCATTTGACGAGAAATATGTGAACCGAACAAACAATAGGGCTTTTTTAACAGTTTGGGAGGCGGCTAGTGAAGCATCTTGTTCTTCGTGTATCAGGACTTTCGACACGTCGAAAACTGAAAGAGTGAGAATTGTGGATATCATCAAGAAATTGAAAAATGGAGGGGAAGATGCGGATGATCATGAACGTGGCAATAACGACCACAAGCATTGTTCAACATCAGATCAAGCAGAGCAGTGGTGTTTCTCAGTGGCCATAAGCTCGCCCCAAATACGCGGGCGACAAGCATTCAACGATTTGCTCATACGGAAAGAGCGAGACAAGATTAGGGAGTTGGATTCACTAGTGAAACGCAAGCCAGTTTCGAAATTTCCGAAGCGTGGCCGTCTTCAGGTGTGTTTTGTTCTTCAAGAATACTCATTCATTTGTAAGTTCATTCACTCCAACTGATAATGCTTCGATTCTCATAGTCGACGCTAAAGCTTAAAAGTCCACAACGCTGCCAGACAATTCAAGATAGATGTCGTCTACAATCACCAAGGGCTCACCGGAACCGAATCCCACAATGGCCTACCATTACGCAACTCAGGTATCACTAATGCTATAGCTTCCTTGGCTTGCTTCAAGCTAACAAATGAATATATGTCATCCAACTAAGCTTTACTTTCAAGTAAAGTAAGTTTTGGCCTCCAAACGCATTTATTCAATCAGATTTTCCTCTTGTCCCCTTTTTATCAACGGACTAATTCCAGGGAGAAGTTTAGTACTGGTTCCGAGCATCTCAGGACACCGACGGATGTTTCAGCTACTTCGAGATTCCTTCAGAATGACACAAACTCCACTTGCATGCCCCAGCAAAGAGAAGATACCCATTGCCAAAAGAGAGATCAGAGTTCATATCCGGTTAATCGTTCAACAATGAACACAAATGGAGATGTTTATGAACAGTCCAAGCCACTTTCAGATGCCATACAACAGATATCAGGCCCTGCAAAGGCAACGACGCCATTGGAGGGTCAACTGGAAAATGAGGTTGCCGAAAAGCAAGGGTCCAATGGCCAACAACATCTCTTACTTGACTCGCAAGAAACTGCAAAAACAATAACTCAAAATGAGGTTGCAGAGCAAGAAAAGGACCAGCATCATCATCATCTTACTCTTGAATCGCAAGAAACCATGGAAACACCGACATCGATGAATAGTAGCATAGACAATGAGATAGGTGAAGGAGAGGGTAACGGTGATCGGCAGTACCTTGGCCTAGACTCTCGGTCTGAGTGTACTGTAGTGAAATCATCAACATCCTACGTTAATGACAGTAACGAGAATGAGGTAACAGGAGAAGAAGAGGATCATTACCAACAATATTTCGTTGAAAGTAATGATTATGACTGGTTTACTGATATATCTCGGCCCAAAAGTCACTGGGAAAGCTTAAGGAAAGCATGGTACGAAGAAGTGCTTAACGCCACCTCAAAAAATGGAGAGATACGTCAGCTCGTTGAAAGGTACATGATATTTCACATGCATACATAACCATGAAACGTGATTATAAGATGAAATATGAGCATTTAGCATTGATTTCCAATTCCCATGCTCATGACATGTAGGGGAAGAGTGTCAAGTTTACTTGCCAGTGATTTCACAGAAAGCATGGACCGGCTATTGACTTGCCGCATACAAGTGCAGGCAGATGGAGCTGAAAATCAACAAGTCGTTGACGATAATTACGATTCAACTTCACTTGGCAGTGATTTCGTGGATAGAATGAATCGATTAATGACTTCTGGGGCACAATGTCAAGCAGATGAAGCTCAAAATCAGCAAGAGGTGGAGGGTAAGGAAAAAACGGTCCAACCGATGTCTTGTAAAGAAGAAGACTACGACGACGACAAAGAAGAAGAAGAAGAAGAAGAAAGGAGCTTAAGCAGCCATCAATGTCATGAAGCCAATAACTACTATGATCATTCATCATCGTCTTTGCAATTGCCTTCACCGTCTGCTTTGAGGTCATGGAGTTCTCAAGATGGTAACGAAACTGGTAACGATTATGAGCGCTGTGCGTCTGAGTTTTCACCTCCACCGCAACAGTCTCAGGCTCATTGTTATCAGGATGCTAGACAGTCGTCTTCTTCAATCGTGAGTTGTTTTTGGATATTATGTTAATGTTGGTTGCATGCGTATTATTTCTCGCTGGTTTTGCATTAATTGATGTAAGATATAGGGTATGGGACTCATATATGATTTAAGAGGGGATATCCAGCAACTTCGCCATGAGATGAGTGAGCTTAGGAAATCGATGCTGAGCTGCATGGACAAGCAGATGAAATTTCAACTCCTCTCCTTTAATTGGAAAGTTCATTCGGGTGAGACTTATTTCATTATTTGATAATTATTAGTTATTTATTTTAGTGCAAATGGTCTTATTTGGTCACTCGTAAAATTAACGACAATGCTAACGTAGTATTTTTTTTATTATTTTTATGCTATTGTGTTATTATCTTATGACATGTTAAGCGTACCGTTAAAAAATCAAAATCAGAACTTATTATGAAGCGATCTCAGTGGTTAAAAAAAATGTTATTCACCCTAAAGATTCTAAATTCGAGTAGTTGCGTTTACATGGTGTGTGCTTTATTAATGTTTAAGAAAGATTCTGAACTTATACTACTTTGTAATCACTTCATACTATTAAAAAAATATAGGATTTTAAAAAGAATAATAATTGATTGATCAAAATAGAAACCAAATAATAGGCGAGTTACCAAATAGATCATTTACCCTTTATTTTATATTATCATGCTCTTACATATCTACAGGCATACATAATCTAATTCGGATATTGACTTAGTAGTAAATAATTATACAGTTGAAGAGGAAGCAAAGAATTCAACAAATAGGATACCATGGAAACGTAGTTGTTGTATTTGCTACGAAATGCACGTGGACTCATTTTTGTACAGGTAAATGTGTTCAAATTAATATACAAAGCTAACCTATCATGCATACATGGATTCAGTGAATTGCCTTTAAAAGTTTTTAATTTTCAAATAATTGAAATATTTTATAGATTTTTTATTAATAATTTATTTTTATTGTTTTTAAAACTTTATAAATTTATTCACAAATCCACATTAAATTTAGGGTAAGCATATATGTCCACCTAAAATTCAAATAGTATATACTTTTAATTTTTATTTGTGTTACATCATACAAAAAATAATGTTATTAATATATATATATATATATATATATATATATATATATATATATATTAAAATCTATAATTAAATCTATTTATTTAAAATCTTATGTCTGTTCGTACGTCTTCCATCCTTTATATTTAGAAATGTAAAACGAGATATTATGAGGTATTAAAGTAGATATTGTGTGTTAATTTCAGATGTGGGCACATGTGTACTTGTCTGAAATGTGGGATTGAATTACAATGGAGGAGTGGAAAGTGCCCAATATGCAGTGCTCCAGTCCTGGACGCTGTGCCAGCCAAGTTATGAAGCATCGCATCCAGTTGTTGCTCTGCATTAATACTTTGTTAATACTATTTCAAATTAATGCCACCCCATTGATTAATTTCAAATTCTTTCTTTTTTTTGGATAAATGAAATTTGGAAGTTTAATTATTCCATGTTTTATCCTCTTTTTATATAATTCTTTTATGTGATCAATTATATATATTATGCGTACTTCTTCTCTTCTGTTAAAATTATCAATTATTGGCTTTTAATAGTTATGTTTTTAAAATTTTAATTACAATTATTTAAAAGATTAATACATCAAATATTTTTGAAATATAATTCTTTTCACATTTTTATTTAAAAATAGTAAAATATTGAAGTTAAACAATTTTAACTATAAAAAATTAATAAATAATAATAGATTAACAAATAATAATTATAATTATGGGAGGTTATACAATATAGTTGAAATGCATATGCCGTGAGTGTGCTAGTGGCATAGGTATGAAGGCATAGATACGGACATGACATGTTGAGGTAGGCATCATGGTGTGGTTGAGGGTTCTGCATCTCGTAGCACACACCTCTCTCTAGCCTTCTTAAATTACCCTTGCATATCTAGGGTGAGATCTAAAACTGCATCAGAGACGTACACTCGACCAACTTACTCCGTCAAGTCTTGGGGCATCTGCGCCCAGCTAGCAACTGAAGTGCCTTAACACTTACTGGGATATATTTGAATCGTACGATCGTTGTCTGCTAAAGTAATTGTTGCGTCCTGATTATTTCTCAAGCATAAGACAATGCTAGTTTTATGTCATTCTAGTTGTTATTGTTTCTAGTTGTTTTGAGTTTATTATTGTTCTCACTTAAAGTTTTATTTTATGATGTTTTGGTATTATTGGGTCCCTCAAAACTATCCCTTAAAACCCTTGGGTTTCTTACTCAAAATTGTTCTTGGGTATTGATACTAAGCCACTTCAGTATTAATATTAACCCCTAAGTATCGATATTAACTTCTAGTATCGATATCAACTGGCTATTGAGAACTAAGAGAAAATGGGTAGTATCGATACTCTAGTTTGAGTATTGATACTTCTGGTCTGTGGTATTGATACCATCATGAGTATCGATACTAAATTTGGCTTCTATGTTTTAGAAAATGCCTCAGTATCGATACCCTTATTGGGATTTACCTTGTGTATCGATACCTAATGTATGAGTATTGATACTTCTAGCCCAAATCCCCTTATTTTAAATGTCTGATGAACAATATCGGTAATGTTCTTCCAGTACCGGTATCCAAGCCCAAAAATGTCATGTTTTGGGCACAAAAATAATTCTCTAACTCACCCAAGAGTCCTACTGAGGTTCCCAAACATTATTAGAGTTTTATGTATGATATTAGGGGTCATAATAAGTCCATAAACATGCTGAAAAACACCAAATGTTGAAATCTACCATGAACATGCTTCATGACTCATGCAAGCTAACAAACATACCTAATTTATCTACATTGTAGTAAAGTTAAGTTAGAAGTGAGTTACAATGATGACTTAAGTTTCTCGAAGCCCCCAAACTCAACCAAATGCTAGTTTTTCCTTTCCTTTAAACTTGGAGTCTTCTCCAATTTCTCTCACTATACAAAAATCATGTGCAAGGGTTATTGACTGATTTAGGAAGTTAAGAGGGATTTAAAAAGACATCATAAGGGAAATCCATCAAAAACTGGCTGGATAGTTAAAATTTTCTTAAACCCTACAAAACTCTCATTTGGCTACCATAGCCAAAACTTGTAAATGAGGACTTGGAATGAGGATATTAAGATTCTTACTTTGAGGTTGTTGGGTAAGATTTGAAATGGAATAAAGCTTCTACCTTTCCTTTGAGGTGTTAGGGAATAAGAGAGTTTAAATGGATGAAGAAGAAGTGCTTTGGGAAAATAAGATATCAAGCTTTTCCCACATTGACATCATCCTTCATTAAAAGGATTCAGCCTTCGGGAAAGTTTGGGAGTAAATTGCTTCCTTGGTCCTCTTAACTTTGGTTACCACTTAAAAGTATCCTTTTTATCATCTATTGGGCCCAATCCAAGCTCAAACCAAATCTCACTTGGTCCAAGTTTCCCTTCAAGGCTAATGGGTTTATCTAAAACACTCCTAAATCAACCTCAAACTACTAATCTAAGATTCGAGGCATTACATGATCTCATTGTATTGATACATAAATATGAGTATATTTATATATAGATCGATATCATTTAATGATTCTAAAAAAAATCTACACTTTGAAATTATGCAGGGTAGCGATACCTTGAAGGTAGGTATCAATGCGTTGTAATTTTTATGTAGAAATTTATATTTTAAAGGCATCAAAAACATGTCCTGACCATGGCTAAATCATATGCAATCACTTAAAATATAACAAAAGCATAAGCATTGAATGTGACATGTAACCTTGTTTAAAATATGTAACTGAGTGATTGAGAGATTTTAGCATGCTAAGTAGTTTTATGCAACTCTTATGGGTTCCTAAATGCTATAACCACAAACTCCATCATCTATTTCCATAAGTTTGTATACTCAAAATCTACATGAAATTATTTTTGACTCGTTAAATACATGAACATGGTAAAATATGACAAGACCACTAATTTAAGCAAAATAAAGTATAGCATGCAATTGACCAACTAGTCATCACATTCCTCGTAGCATCAACATCCTTATTGCAACCATCAGTCCATCACTACATCATATTGTGTAAAGCCTAGGTTTGATCATAATAGGCCAAAAAAAAAAAGACATGTATAAACATTTGTTTAACATTTTCCCCATATACATGCCATTTTTAGCTTCTTAAAACAAGAGGAAAGTCATTACTAAGTTTACGCTTATGGTGACTTGTTTTGGGTAATGCAACTTCAAGATCTACTCTAAGAATGTTGAGTTTCAAATTGGACCCTTTTTTAAAAAATCATTGAGTTAAAATCCTTACGATTTGATGGGATTTTTAAATAAATCAATTTGACGCTAATAGTCACTAATGTTAGGGTAAGTGTTCGTTTTACTATTGATGTTTAAAAAGTCATAAATTGAGCATTAATGTTATCATTTGTTACAAAATAGTCCCTCAACGTTAACAGTTGTTATTAGACATGACGAAAAATACAACTGGATCGATCGTTGACCACCACAGTTGGATCATTTTGACTTGATCTTCTTCTTCAATCCAATTCCACCTTTTTCTTCTTTCTTTTTCTTCACTTTTCTTCTCCATAACGACGACCGTATAAGGCGGACAATTTCCAGCTTCAATGAGGCTTCCTTTATCGGGACAGAAACTAAGTCAAACAAATTTACAATTAACCCAAACATTATCACTGTGGAGAGTTTTTTTTAATAGAGAATCACAAACTGTAAATGAAGAAAATAAGAAATATAATCTGAAAACGTCGATGAATTTGAAAATCTTACTCTAACGGGTAAAACCATTTTGACAAAATTAAGAAATTAAACAAATTTTAGAAGCATTTCACCAATAAAAAACGGAGGTGCATAGTAAAGGGAAAACACTGAAATATGAAACCTTTTTCAACCACAAAAAATAAAACCCACTCCAAAAACCCAATCCTTTCGCCATAAAACAAAGAAATTAACCGAAAATTTGAACGTTTTTCACCGGAGAAAAGAAAACCCATATCCCAAATCACTCGATAGCCAATAATTAAAACACCATCCTGAAAAAACAGGGATACTCAAGGCCTCGTAACAGATGGAACAATCAAGAACTTCAGGGTCAGGTCAGTTAATGTAACTGAAATAGATCCATCTCGAGCAGTCTGAGGAGCCATTGCTCCTTGCTTAGCTCCACTTTCCTCCAATTCTTCTCCTTCAGATTCTCCTACTCCTTCGGATGCTTCTTCTCCTTCTCCTTCAGATGCTTCCTCGCTTTCCGATTCTTTCGTCTTCTTCGGAATTTTCTAGACATGAGCCTTCGATATCAAGAACACGCTCTACCCTATGACGCTTAGGGACTCGTTTGCTTGGCCCTTCTCTGTCTTCTTCGATCCCCATAGAGAACTTTGCAATTCTATTCTCTCTCTTCCTCCTATACTTTCAAAGTGAAAAAGAAAAAGGAAAATAGTAATACTTTACTATTAACCCAAACATTATCCTAAAAACTAATGGCATGCATGATGTTAAATTTCTACCTTATACGGTCGTCGTTACGGAGAAGAAAAGTGAAAAGAAGAAGAAGATGGAGTTAGGTTGAAGAAGAAGTATGTCAAAATGATTCAATTATAGCGGTCAACGATCTAACTCATTAGATGCAATTTAATTGTGTTTTTCGTCACATTTATCGATCGCGATTAACATCGAATAATCATTTTATAACCAACGATAATATTAATGATTGATTTGTAATTTTTAAACATTAGTGATAAAAATAAATATTTACCCTAACATTAATAACCATTGGCATAGTTTACCCTTTTAAAAATTCTATATTTTTGATCTTTTGTTTTTTTTTTTTGTAAAACGAATATTTGAATATGTGTTTAAAAGGTTAAAAATGGATGAATTGAAAATTTCGGGTACCACGATTGTACGTGACGACAGCTAACAATGACCAATGATAGAAATCAACTGTTATCGAAAATGATGAAAAGTTGCGATCAATGACATAAACTTTTACTAGATTAAGAGGTCATGATGATATTTTATATAAACTTTAAGGCCCCATTTAATTCAAGAAATGTTGTATTATCGGGGAATGAAATCCTCATTCTCCTGTTTAGTTGGTCGGTAATATCATTTCTGGTAATCTTTTATTATCAATAATAGATTTTTTGGGTATATTATTGGGAATGTGATTACCCCTTCCCTTAGGTATTGTTGGATTACAGGCGTTTTGGACTAAAATGCCCTTAATTTTTTTTTTCAAAAATTCTTTTGTCATTAAATAATAAAAATTCTACGAAGGTTAAATTAAAAATTTATCCTTAAACTATTTTATATTTATAAAAAAAAGTCTATAAT